GTATATTTAGTTTTTTTTTTTAAAACTCTACTATTTGAATTTTTTAAGAATAATTATATACCTATTTATTTTTCAGTGAAAAATAAATGTTTGCGAATCAAGTAAAATCATGCTTAGCGTTAAATATAAATACTTTAAGAACGCAGAAGAAGAAATAGGTACATAAACAATTTAAAGAGTAAGCATATCACCTAATTATTCAATAAAATGTAAACTGTTTTAATATTTAAGTATGAAATATGAATTATCCACACCTACATATTATCATAATATTATCTAACATATTTCAAGGTACCCATTTCAACTCTAAACAATTTTGAATTTTTACAACGTAATAGATTTTCCTCAAACTAAGATTTATATTTGGCCCTCAAAAAGTTACAAAGTGTACTTACCAATACGTAACGGTCGGTGGCTAGCCAAAATAACAACAGTATAGGCATTTTATAAAAATTATAATTTATATACTTATAATTTCTAAATGGTTGTAATTTCTTATTTTTTTAGAAAAATAAATAGATTTTGATAGTTGCAAATGCGTTTTGGTGGTGTGAGGGAATGGGGGTATATCTCCTCAGAACCCTTTTTTTTAAATATAATTGTAAATAAATATCATGGTTAAAAGATAAAACTGATAATAACTTACTAATATTACCACTTCTGATATCATTTTCAACTGTCTAAAACGTATACCTTCTTAATATAAACACAGAATAGATTAAAACTATTATTTAATATTGTTATTGTTTTTGGAAAATACACAATTTATAAAAAGACCTGGGATTTTAATATGCCCTAAAAAACCCAACAAAGAACATATTAATATTATAGTACAGGTACCTACCAAATACAAATATCACAAAATATTTTCTAATAATCATGATAGTAATAATAATAATAATAATAAAGAACACACATATAATAAGTAATAATAACACCCGTATTAATTGTGATCAAGTCTAATTATTATTGTCGTTACTCGTTCCTATATCGGTTATCGAAGATGATCACCTCTACCTGCCTACCTGTAATTATTTTACTTATAGACGCGTCTCATAAATAATCACCCATTCTGGTAAAAGTCCAGTTTTTAATCCAGGTGTGCTATTTATTTATACCCATAGACGTAACTAGAGCCATTAAATTGAGTGGGCTCGAGCCCATAGTTAAAGTGTTTAAAAGAGGGAAGGGGTTGTAGGACTATATCCTTGTGGCCTGGTCCCTTACTCTTAATAAACAAGAAAATATAATACAATTATGAATACCAACATTTTCAATAAAGAAATACAATTTTAAATATCCACTAGAAAAGTATATTTACTATAAAATAGTATTTTTTATTATAGTTGCATTTTCCTATCTTTTTCTGCAAATTGGTTAAGAATATCAACATTTATAATTGTGTTTGATAATTCTCGCTCAATTTTAAGAATACTTAAATTTGTAAACCTGTTTTGTGCCATATTTGACCTTAAATAAGTATTAATTCTTCTCATTTAGGAGAACGATCGTTCACACGATGCAGAACTAACAGGAATAATTGTCAATGCAACATGCAATAATTTGTAGACATTTGGATATGTGTCAAATTTAACAACAGAATGGAGTATCTCTCTCTGAGTTAGGGCTTCACAATTAATTTTTTTGTTTTCCAAAGAATTTTTGGTTACAGAAAGTTCACATTTTAGATCAGATTCTTCAATTTGTAACATATACTGAAACAAAAATTTTTATGATAAAGAATCAAACACAAAGGAAAAATTGAATTTTGTTTGAACTATTTACCTTATAATGATTGACAAAACAGGAATCTTTTTCATATTGAAGATCTAAAAATGTGTCAACTGACTTAGCAAATTGTCTATTGTGATATAAGTAAACAAAAATGAATTATTTAAATAACTTGCTTGTTTTCAATTCATATTTAATTTTACTATTTTAGGTGGGCTCGAGAGGCTGAAGGGTGGGCTAGGCCATTACGTCTATGGTTGTACCTATAATATCTTTCTCATAATATAATTGTATGCTTTAATAGGTAACTTCAAACTTGTGTTAACATAAAACACGGAATATTAAGAGGACGTTACACCCGCATGTGTTGTCTCCATCTTACAAATGTACAACATAGCAAAAACTGTTTTGCGCGGGACAACTTTTATCTTTCTGTGTTAGTTGTAGTGGCTCCAAAATTTCTGAACATAAATCATAGAAATCCTATGCGACATTGTGCCTATATTTTAGATAACATAAATACAATAAAAGTTATTTGTTTCTAAACATGTCGTTTTTGTTTTTTTCATTTGCTTATAAAAAATGATTGGATAGTGCTATTAAAAAAAACACTGCACGCTGTTGCACAGATAAAATTCTTTTTTAAGTGTGTTGAAAATTTGGTAGTCTTACAAAAAATCAAGATAAGTTGTCCCACACAAAACAGTTTTTGCTATGTTGTAAATGTACCTAAATATTTTGTAAGACGGACAACACATGTTTAGTCTATAATATGTGTATAAACACTATCACAATAATATTACAAACACAAAAGTATGTGTCGCGTAAAATATACAAGGTGAATGTGTTGTACAATAACATAAATTATTATCATAATAATTATTATTATAATAGAAAGATAATATTATGATCAAGATACGATTTTCAAAAGTGTTGATATTCTAATTTAACAAAATAATATTATACGTTACAGGTTTCGTGACGAATTGATAATGAGCGAAGATAGAATGATGGGTTATGTTGTCCTTTGACTTTCTTAAAGAAATTTTTTTTTTATAAAGGCAGACATTCTTATAAGGAATCTTGTATTACATTTTAAAACCCTAGATTCAAAAAGAAAAATTTTTACGAATTCTTAACTCAAAATAATTTGCTAATTTTCGTAATTTTTCTATATTTTGTAAATTTATAAACTTTAAATGCTTATAAAAAAAAACTGTGACTAAGGATTTTTAATATTTTTCAAATGCCATTGTAACAATATAGTAGGAACCTTGTATTAATTTTCAAGCTTTTTAACCAACAAATACAATTTTATTGATATTTTAAGAAAAAAAACTAAAAAAAAAATGGAAAATGAAAATGTGCCTAAACAGTTCAAAATAAATCAAAACATTTTGAAAATGTTATCGTGTATAGAAAATTCTAATAAAAACATTCAGTCAAAATTCCATGTACCTACGGTCATTTGTTTAAGAGTTGCACCAAAAACCAAAATCGATTTTTTCGAAAACAGATTTTAGTGTAAAAATGCCGGTTTTTCTTTAAATTTTATTTTGTTTTTCACGCCACTTTTGAAAACTACTGAGAAGTTTTCACTTTTGACCCCCCCAAAGTACCAATTAGATTCACTTTCCTATCAGAAAAACTACTGTTGAAGAAAATCCAAGCACTTTTACTGTCCTAAAACGTGATTTTTTATGTTTTGAGTAATTATTGTGTTGAAAAATTAGGATTTTTTTTTTATTACCTATATCAATTTTAAAATACACAAAATTAATTATTTATTGGAAACACCTATTTTACCAGGGATTTTTTATTCAGAATATTTATTACTAACAATTTTTTTTATGTTTGATTACCTAAATATGAAATACGATTATTTGTTTTCAGAAAACTGAATACATCAAGAAATCTATAATTGATGGAAATCTATAATTGATGATAATCTAGTGTATAAGGTGCGCATTTTTCTGCACGTGTTTTTTCACATTTATATATATTAATATAGACAACATATATTTTGAAAACCAACAAGGGGACATAGTATTAAACAGTGAGTATATGTTAGTATATGTTCTACTAGCGTGTTTGTAAAAATGTAAATGCATTTGAGAAATTTAGTCACAACGAATGTAGGTTAATTCACAGCACCTCAAGGGTCAATGACTATTTTAATAGGTTCAAGGACAAATGTGTTCAATGGAACGAAGGTAAAAAACATCATCCATACGTGATCTTCCGTCCTCCCTGTATTTAAGTAGGACCATGCGACCATACGAATATTTCACTTTGAATTTTTTTTTTCTTAATAAACGAAGAAATCGGTTTGGTTTTTATTTTCTCAATACAAGTGGAATTGCCTTTGATGTAAACGGGTTGATATATACGCTCTAAATTTGACTTTTCGTTTTTCCTCCTTTATGAGCGTTCTTTTGAACTACTTAATCGACTGATCCAACATTTTTCACTTTTTCGATGTTTTTGAAAAATTTCTTCTTCCATTAGTTTTCTTTTTTTGAACTATTTTAGCTGACACCGCGTTGTTTCACTTTTCGCTATATTCTTTTTAAAATACGGATTAGACCGAATACGTACCATTAAAAATACAATTTAACAATTTTGGCGGTTCAACTTAAAAATTATTAATTCTTAAATATTGCTATAAAGTTCAGTTGTGTATAATTGAAATGATTATGCCATCAAATCATGCGGAAAAATAAAATATGCTCTAATGCTTATTGATCTCTTTGTCTGTCGATATTTCTAAAAGAAAAAAGAGAATAAAAGAAAAGACCGTAAGTAATTTATTTTGGAAAAATTTTTTTTTGTTTATTAGAAATTGTTTCTTAAATTTATTTCAAATAAATATTTCGTATTAATTTTAGTCTTCCATTTTGGAAGTGCTTGGTTTCGGTTCCTCTTTATTATATTTTGTTAAATACCAATCATGAAAACTGTAATTTAATGTTTAATTAATGAGGATTTTTGAATTTCATTGTTTTAACTTTTAATCGTTGGTCACAAATTTACCTTTTTATTTTAGAAGTTTCCACTTGGTAAGTTATAACTGATGACTGTATTAATGCCAAATATTTTTTTCTCGATATTCGTTAACTTTCGCTTTTTCTATTGTTATTATTGTGTCCTTGTCTGCAATAAAATTTTCTGCATTTTCATTCCATAAAGTCAGTGTAATCTAGAACATGAGGATTATTAATATTTATTGTGATTTTTGATTCTGATTTACACTTGCCTCATCACTGTTATCAATTAGTTGTATCTCTTTTTTTTTTAAATTCCCTTCCGTCTTTTGCAAATACTGTATCAGTGTCTCCGATATTTTCGACGACTGCAATGACATCTGAAAGAATTATGTTTAAATTCTTTTCTTTTTTTTTCTATGATTACAACGTTTTTAATTTTTATTATTCTTACTTATTATTGTTTGATTTTCCAGATTTAAAATCTTTCCAATTTTTGTATACATTGGTTCATCTAATTCTTCAATGTCTTTATTTCGTTCTAGACACTCTTCTCTTATTCTGAAATAATCATTCATTAATGTTTTCTATAATTTGTTTTACAAATATAACTTATAAGTATTGAAAATTGTAGTAAATTTTTAATATCAAAATAGAATATGATTAATATCATTAAATAGATTTATATACATACTTTGTCGCTTCTGGAACGCCGGGATTTATCGACATTCTAGATGAATTGATTAAAGTTAAATTTTTAGTGTAATTATACTCTCCAATTTTGGCATTTTTAATTGCAATAATATCCTCTTTTTTTAATTTGAATTCATTGATTTTTTCATTCCATACATTTAAAGTTATCTGAAAAACGAGATATAAAAGTACGAAATAAAAACAAATATAAAACCAGAATATAAGTGATGGTATCATACTTTTCTGTTGTTTTCATCTATGAGAATTATTTCTTTTTTCTCATAGTGATCACCGTGTACGGATGTTATGTTTTCGGTGTCCTTAATTTGTTCTATTTTGGCAATAACGTCTAAAAAATAAACATTATTATTTTACTGTTTGCATATTCGAGTACTTGAGAATCTTACCTATAATAGTGTTTTTTGCTTTATTATACATCATATTAAATTTAACAAAATTGTAGCCTTCTTCTTGTTCTCTGCTTATTTGAATGTAAATATCATCTTTTTGTTTTTTTCCTGTTTTGTCGTACCATTGTGTTAATCTGCACAAACAATTTGCTATAGTTTTTTTTTATCCCATTTCAATTTCTTTGGATATTTTACCTTTTTGCTTCCTCAATATTGGAATTTATTAAAGTTATTGAAGGGTGACACAAATTTTTGACCCCATAGTAATCAAATACTTGAACATTTTTTAATATTATTGAATCGTTGGCAGTTCCTTCAAAATTGTCAATTTGTGGAGTGTCCCATAATATAAGTGATATCTAAAAGTAATAAGATCATTTAGTTTTAAAATTCTATCAGATTGAATTTTTTTACCTTGGATTTTGTGTCGTCAATTATCACAATTTCTTTTCTTTTTAAAATTGCTCCTTTGGCAGTTGTTGAAGTTTGCACTTTACCGATATGTTTGATGATTCCAATTATATCTAAAATTTTATTTTATTAATTGTTTTTAGTACCTCAATATTCTTTATGCGCCGGATTACCTATTGTTTGATCTTTGTTGACATCAGCTAAACTTTTTAATTTAATGAATTCGAATTCCATTTTTTTTATTGTACTGATATATTTTTCTATTTGTTTTATTTCAGATTTTTCATTCAACAATATTTCAAATTCATGTCCTAAACAATTATAATTTGTATTCACTTTTTTTAATATCCCATTTGATATAGAAAAAATTTTTTGAATCTGAAAAATCAATATATTACATATTATGTGTGTTAATCCATTTAAATAATAGCTGGTGATTTTTTCATAATAATTAGTTTTATTTACTTCAAACTGATCGTAAAATTTGTCAACCATCGGGCCAAATTCCACGCATCGAATTTCAGCACTTTCATCAATTAAATCTACATTGAATACTTTACTCTCCCCTTTGGCATTTCTAAATATGCGGACGTTGGATTTATTTGTAACTCGCCCTTTAACTTTCCATCTAAATACCCAATATTGGAGTTCAATGTAATTAAAGATTTAATAAACAATTTAATAAATAAAATCTTACCCGTTTGAATTGGCAACCAGTGATGCTATTTTCATTGTATCATCATCTGTATTATTAATCTTTTTATTTTTTTGTTCTTCGGTATTGTTAATATCATGACTTCTCTTCATGTTAAATATTTTTATTATATTTGTATTTTTTATTATGCTCGTAGTTGCTTATAAACAAACGGTTTCCATAGATCGAATAAAAATTCAAATAAATAAATAAATAAATAAATAAATAAATAATATCCAACCTTCAAACCATCTGGCTGTTAGACTGGAAGAACATTAATTTATACTAGATATAAATTTTCCGAGAAAAAGTCTGTAAATTTAATCAATGTGAGTATATATTCTAAAAAGTATCAAATATACTAGGGAAATTCGTTTAGTATTTATCAAAATTTGGTTATCTTTATGGTCAAACTTGTGCAATTTGTGTGTCATGACTCTAAAACAAGTCATTTAAATTATTTTTCGTAATTAATAGAATAAAACATAAGCGGTTAAACGCACAAATGGTTAAACGAAAAAAAAATATCGGAAGACAATCACAAATTGCAAAAAAATATAAAAAACACAAAAATTCAATAACAATAAAGAATGAGGACATTATGCCAGAAGATGTTGACAATGCGCAAGAAGATAATACACAAATGAAATTAATAAGTAAACGCACCAACGAAAGAATGAAGAAAGCTAAAAAAAAATTAGAAAATGAAGCATTTTATTATGATCCGACTATTTCTTACGACGATGATCCTCGCGTGTCAATTGGTCTCTTAAATGTTGAATGTGAATACTGTCAAGCATTGAAATTTAAAGATGAGAATAATGGCATATGTTGTGGGAATGGTAAAATAAAACTCCCACTTTTGAATAATCCTATAGAACCATTGCTTTCATATTTGTCTGGAACTTCCAATGAATCAAAACACTTCTTAAATAATATTAGAAAATATAATTCAAGTTTCAACATGACCTCATTTGGTGCAGATAGAAAAAAAGAACCAGGGTATCAAACAACTTTTAAAATTCAAGGGCAAGTTTATCATAGAATAGGGTCGCTTCTACCTCTTGATGATAAATCATCTTATTTACAAATATATTTCATTGGAGAAAATGAAATTCAATCAAAACAAAGATGCGATGTCATTCCAAATGTCAATGCCAATATTATTGAATCAATCCAACACATTTTACACGAACACAATGAGTTGATAAAAATCTTCAAATCTGCGTTAGAAAACATGCCAACAGATGAATGTAAAATAGTTTTAAAAGCTGACAAAATACCTACAGGAGAACACGAACGTTGCTTCAATTTACCAACAATAAACGAAGTAGCAGCAGTTATGAATGGCAATGAATTCAAAAAACGTGATATTATATTACAGAAACGGAGTAATGAATATATGAGAGTTCAAGATACTCATAAATCTTATGATGCTTTACAATATCCGTTAATGTTTTGGAGGGGTGAAGACGGTTATCACTTTGAATTAAAACAAATAAATCCAGCAAGTGGTTTAAATACAGATAAAAAAGTATCAGCAATGGATTTTTATGCATATAGAATAATGATAAGAAAATTCCCGGAAAATTTTTTACTCCGTTATAATCAATTATTTAATCAATTCATCGTTGACATGTATGCAAAAATAGAAAATGAGCGTTTACGTTTTATACGATTTAATCAATCAAAACTCAAGGTTGATCAATATATTCATCTAAAAGACGCATTTGAAAATGATGGAGACCTTGAAGATATAGGACAAAAATACATTTTACCTGCAAGTTTTATAGGCAGTCCTAGACATATGCATGAGTACACACAAGACGCTCTTTGTATAGCGCAAACAAAAGGAAAACCTTGCTTATTTATGACATTTACTTGTAACGCTCAATGGCCTGAAATAACAGATAACTTGTTACCCCATCAGCAAGCAAGAGATAGACATGATTTAGTGGCGAGAGTATTCAAATGTAAATTGAAAAAATTGATGGACTATGGGCCGGTTCTACCATCTATAGATAAAGTATCAGTTAACTGTCTATTAGATAACGTTATCCAAGACATTTATCTTATTGATAATTAATGTGTGTTCTACAAATAATATTTGTGTTATGAATTACTATCTATTAGATAGTAATCCTGTAGTTAAATTAATTTTTAATTTGTTATTCTTTCCATGATATTGTTGTATTATCTATAATAAATATAGTAGATTATTGATAATAATTGAAAGGTACCGTACTAAACTGCAATTAACTTCTATAAGTATTGAGTTCTTTGTTTCTATATTAACTTTTATAGTTCTAATAATTCGTATTCGTAATCGCACTAACGTCGTACCATCGTAAGAAGTACCTAATTAATTAAGATTTTTAAATTTTTATAAATTGTATATTTTTAAAATGTCGGACATAAAAAATAAAGAGAAAAGTCGTTCAAAAAATGTTGCTAGTGATGAAGTTAACCGGTTCATAAGTGCATATGGTTGCTAATGCATAAAACCTAAGTGTCAATAACAATTTTGTTGTAGGCAATATGGCACGGTTTCTGAAAAGTAAATTAAAATAAAATGTTTAGGTATTTTTTTTTATTAGAAACATAGTATAGGTACCTACAACCTACATATTATTATTATTTTTTTTTTTTTATCAAATGACCCGCGGCAATGTTAGAAATAGATACCTAGGTATAAACTATAAAAGTATAGTTTCATATAAAATATATTATATACAATAAATTACTTAGGTACCTGTTCGTTTTTGACTTTAAATGAAATTCAATTTTAAATAAAAGTTCTTTAACTGTTGTTTTTTTAGACTAAATCTCATAAAAAATTCATCATCATCCCACATTTCTAAATCTTCCATTCGATTTCGAAATACTTTTTTTTTTTCGTGGTTTCGGAAAATCTTCAATATTATATTCATCTTCATCAGATATGATATCAAAATTACAAAACATTTTTTAGTTAAAAATTATTATAAGCTTATACACTGAAATTTAAACTAAATATATTTTATATTAAAACACTATATAGTTAGCATAACATCAGTTCATAATATGATAATATTAATCTGACATAGAGATTGATTATCCTCTAGATAAATTACTTATTCAGTAGTAAAACTGTTTGACAAGTTACCAATGACTTTACCAACAGGTTCAGGGATATCTAGACATTGTAGAACGGTATGAGTCAACTTATCCTATGGATAAATTTAACTAAGAGTTATCTATAGGTGGTAGAACCGGCCCTTATTAACAAAAAGCAATATATTTGGCGAAGTTGTAGCATGGGTTTATTCCATAGAATGGCAGAAAAGGGGATTACCACACGCACATATTCTAATATGGTTGAAAAATAAAATACACCCAGACCAATATGATAACATAATTTCAGCTGAATTACCAGATCCAGAAAAAGATCCTATATTATTTGACGTAGTAACAAAACACATGATACATGGACCTTGTGGAGAATTAAATGTCAATTCACCCTGTATGAAACAAGGGAAATGCAAATGTAATTATCCTCGAGCACTGATTAATGAAACAAGAACAAATTCTAAAGGATATCCATTGTACAGAAGAAGGAGTATAACGGATGGTGGTTTTAAAACTACTATAAAAATGAGAATGATGAATGGTAAATATAAACCAGTCGATGTAGATAACAGTTGGATTGTTCCTTACTCTCCACTTGTTTCAAAAATAATGAAAGCACATATCAATCTTGAATCATGTAGTTCAGTCGTTGCAATAAAATACATATTGAAATACATTCACAAAGGGAGTGATCAAGCAATGTTTACAATCGAAAATAAAAAAGATGAAATTGAAGACTATCAATCTGGAAGATACATAAATAGTAATGAAGCAATATGGCGAATTTTAGGTTTCCCGATTCATGATCGATATCCATCTATATTTCATCTTAGCGTACACCTTGAAAATGGACAACGGGTTTACTTCTCAGATGAAAATATAGAAAAAAAAGCTCAACAACCACCAGAAACCACATTGACCGCCTATTTTAAATTATGTACAATAGATAATTTTGCCAAGACATTATTTTATTACGATGTTGCGAAATATTATACATGGGATAATTCAAGTAAAAAATTCAATACGAGAAGACAAGGAAGTCCAGTTAATGGATATCCTAATATCTATAAAACTGACACTATAGGTCGAATGTATACAATACATCCAAATAACCCAGAATGAGTTTATCTACGAATATTATTACATAATGTACGTGGTCCAACATCATTTAAAAACTTAAAAAGTGTTGATGGTATTGAATATGATACATACAGAGAAGTATGTCAAAAACTTTTATTACTTAAAGATGATAAACACTGGCAAGATGCATTATCAGAAGCAAATGACACAAAACGATCAAGTCAAATAAGATCGCTTTTTATAATCATTTTGACATCATGTGTCCCATCAAATCCACAGCAATTATGGGACAAATTTAAAAAAAATATGAGTGAAGATATATTATATCGAAAACAAAAATTGAATATGTGTGAGAATTTAGATTATACAGATGAAATCTTCAATGAAACTCTCATAATCATAGAAGATGGATGTTTGTTAATATCTGGAAAAAATTTAAAACAATGGGGACTGTCTTAACCGAATCGAATACAAAATACATCACTCCCGACAGAAATCTTACGTGAAACATCATACAACGTCACAGATTTAAATACATATATCAATAAAAATAAATCGCAGCTAATCGATGATCAAAAAGAGGCATTTGAAGAAATTATGGATATTATTAAAAGAGACGAAGGAAGCTTAATTTTTTTAGATGCACCAGGAGGTACTGGAAAAACTTTTATATTAAATTTAATATTAGCGGAAATACGAAAGAAAGGAGAAATTGCATTAGCAGTAGCTTCTTCTGGAGTAGCAGCAACTTTATTACATGGTGGACGTACTGCCTATTCAGCATTGAAATTACCTCTGAATTTAAATTTAACAGAGGAGCCTTATTGTAACATTATAGATAATCCTGCTACTTGTAAATTACTTAAAAATACAAAAGTTATAATTTGGGATGAATGTACGATGGCCCATAAAAAAGGTCCAGAGGCATTGCATAAAACTTTACAACATTTGAATAACAATAAATATATAATGGGAAAAGTAGTGGTTATTTTAGCAGGTGACTTCCGACAAACATTACCGGTAATAACACATGGAACACCTGCTGACCAAATTGATGCATGTTTGAAAAAATCTTATCTTTGGAAACATACAAAGATAATAATGTTAAAAAAAAACATGAGAGTATTTTTAACAGGTGATCCTACACTATCAACTTTTTCAGAACAATTACTACTTCTTGGTAATGGGAAATGGAAGGAAGATTCGGATGGTACTGTGGAATTTCCATCAAATTTTTGCAATATTGTAAAATCAATTGAATCTTTAAAAACTCATGTATTTCCTGATATGCAAAAGAATTATATCAATCATGAATGGATATGTGAAAGAGCCATACTTGCACCGACAAATAATAAAGTAGATGATATTAATAAAGATATATTAAACTCTCTCCCAGGAGAAAGTAAAATATATAAATCAATTGATACCGTATGCAATCCCGAAGATTCAATACACTATCCAATGGAGTTTTTAAATTCTTTGACAATACCAGGTTTACCTCCTCATATATTAACTTTAAAAATTGGAGCACCTATCATGATTTTAAGAAATATTAATCCACCTAAATTATGCAATGGAACCCGTTTAAGTGTAAAATCTTTGAAAAATAATGTAATAGAAGCTACAATATTAACCGGATGTGGAAAAGGTGAAGTCGTATATATACCAAGAATACCTATTAAACCCAGTGATGTGCCGTTTGGATTTGAGCGATTACAGTTCCCGGTAAAACTTGCATTCACCTTCACCATAAATAAATCTCAAGGTCAATCATTGAAACGTACGGGACTTCTACTTGATCTTATGTGCTTCTCTCATGGACAATTATATGTAGCATGTTCAAGAGGCGGTGACCCGAAAAATCTCTACATTTATTGTCCGAATGGAAAAACAAAGAACATCGTATATCCTCAAGCATTAAAATGATACAGATTATTATATAATTTTTACAAATAAAAAAATACGATATCGTTCTTATCGATCATGCCATCTTTTCATTTTTGTATTTGTATTTTGCTCGTATTGGCTTATAAACGGACAGTTTCCATAGAAACATAATAATTATAAAATATACATTAAAATATATACATGCAGTCGTCTCGACCTGGTGACCGAGAAAGACATCGAGTGGGTTTTTCATGTCGGTTCTGACCTTCCTCAGATGTAGCTGAATATCTATGTTGAATTTCAAGTCAATCGGTCGGGTAGTTTTCGAGATCATAAGGATAATAGAAACCGCCACTTACTTTTATATAAATAGATAACAATCATTTTCGTCTGATAGTTTGCCATTGAATATAGAACTCATTAAGTTTTTTACGTATTGTATTCAAATTAAATGAGAAACAAAGAATTTTGTTGTATTGTTAACGTAAGTAAAATGTATTTTGTATTTTAAGTAATTTATAACTGGTTACGTATTTTTTTTTTAGATTGAAGACGAAAATATAATACAACCAATCAAAAAACGACACTTGGCATATCACACCAATATTAAAATGAAAATTGTTCTTTTCATCTTTATAATAACTGGATTATCAGTTTGTGTTATGTGTAGGAAAAGTTATAAATGGACCAAACCAACCAGTGCAAAACCAACTTTAGTAAGTATACTAAGTTTATACATTATTAAGAATGTAGGTATAAATTATACCTAGTTTTGATGTATATAAATATATATATATATATTCTTTAACTGAAAGACCCTAGTAAATTTTAAAATTGTTTTTTAAAAATGCTTTTTATTTTTACTATTACAATTTTAACATCATTTAAATTACAACATTTTTTGGAATATTTTAAAGACCTCTAGCTACTGTATAAAATCATATCCCACCACGACAACAAAAACCTAAATACGCCACTGCAATTATTAGTTCAACAACTGATTAATGAAACTTACATGATTTTATAATAATTTGGTATTTATAAGGGAAAAATACTTAATAATAACAATAAACATCAAGTTACTTTACACACCTAAAAATTATTATAAATTATATTTATTTTTTTTTTTTTGTCATAGGAACCCAGTTTAGAAGAAATAAAAGAAGATATCATGCAAATTAAAAATCAACTCGAAAGCTTCAAAAATTTAATATTTTCGAATAATATAACGTCTCACAACGTTAATTTAAATGCAGCGTCGGTCTTGAAGAGTGGATACTCTTATGTTGTATCCGCTTTGGAGAAATTTTTTTCTCCAAAGGGATTGCCACCGCCTAACTCGATACAAGTTAGCAATTCGTCTAATTCGAATATAAACCAAAATTATTTTAATAATAACACAATTTTATTAATAATAACACAACGATTAATTTTCACTGCAATTGCACAAAACACTTGTAACGGTGAATCGGAGTAATGGTCATCATATGTTATCATTTATTGTTTATAGGTATACAATACAATTTATTATTTATTATTAATATAAAAGTATTAATAAATATACAATATACATATATTGTATGTATGTAAGCAGTGGCATCGAAAAATGGATGATACTGTCTGTAAAAACCTCGCATTTAGTCTGTTTCAGATATATAGCCTCCATAGTTTAGTGGTTAGAGCACTGGTCTTGTAAACCATGGGTAGGGAGTTCGATTCTCTCTGGAGGCATAACATTTTACTATGTAAGTATAGTAATTGTTTGGTATAATTTTCAATAGGTTTGAATTATTGATATAGATGGAATACTGTAGTCTGTAATGTATAAGTGATCGATTAATATTCGATTATCGGTGGTAATTTTTATAAAAAATCAGATGAATGAACTAGCTAATCGATAAAAAATTTAATAATTATTGTAAAAATCGATCAGGTTTGTATGTATAGCTGTGTATGAATGTATGCATATTTAGATGTATACATATCAGGTGTATTAATGTAAAAGTATATACATATATGGTATAGGTAGGTGATAAGTACCTATCTTCATAAGTGTATGAGTGTATAATATTGATCATAATCAACACTCCTTATTCGATTTATTATTTTACATAAGTTAGAGAATCATATATTATAACCCGGTTAATAAAACAAAAAAATAAAATCCATAAATATGATGTGAGCTATCGATTGGTTACTTATGGTATAGCTTGACTACTTATGATATGGTATGGTTTGTTCGTAGTTGGGATTATTAATATTGTAAGGGAGATGTAAAATTAATTATTAGAATATAGGTAGGTAAGTATCTAATTTATTTCCTATTCATAAAACAAAAAATATTATTCATTATTAATGAGAATACAAGCGTTTATGGGATACTGAGTACATGTATATAGTTATATTTTTCTTTCCTCAATGATGTGTTTACCCATAGAACTTTTCTATTGTTATATAAAATAATATATGATTAACTCTATGAATATTCAGTACTAAAATAATTGTAATAAATTATTGTTGAATATACTTTTAAATAATATTTTATATACCCTATTGTTATTATTCTGTAAATTAAACAATAATAAAATAATATACATATATCACATATGTATGTATAATTTTCTCTAGCATACCACCTAATGATGTTTTAGATAACTATGTATAGCTACCATAATGTTAAGAATTGTATTATGTTTATTTTATATAACATATTAAATACAGTGTGATAATTGTATGTAGTGAAGTATAAGACTGGTGATGTACTAACTATAGCTAGTGGCACTTTTAGGACTAGGTGGTTATCGATTTGCGATATATTTTAGTATTGATATCATTTTAAGTCATATATTACTAAAATATCGTTTAATAATTTACAATGTGAAACGATTTATTTATATAATATTTTCATTTATTTTGAAATACATTTAAAGCTTTAAGATAATAGCTACTGATGAGGTCTTACACACACCGACTTTCTATACATAATAATTATATAGTGGTATGGTTGGGTACGTGTGTGATAGACTTAGATCGAAAGGGGTACGGTTGAGTGTATAAGTTATGAGTATGGATGTAATAGGTAAGGTATTGTTAGGTAGGTGACTGGTGAGTGATCAGGGTGATCGGGGTGAGGTGATACTGTATGAATATAGACA